CAATTATCCGGTGAGCCTTACAATTGAATATTCACCAGGGAATTCAAATTTGACATTTCTTAATTGGCCCAAAAAGCCAATAGTCACTTTGTGTTGAGTGAATCGTATTAATGGCTCGTTGCTGAAAGGCTTCTCAACATTTTAAATTATTCTAAACAAAAATGTATGAGTGTTTTTTTTATTTGGCCTTTTCTGAAGGACATTTTGTTCCATATGAGGAGAAAATGAGTAATGATCTGTATGCAGGGATTTTCCGGTACATGCTGGCATCTATAGTGTGTGTGGCAACCTTCTTCCCCTCATTCTGCCTACTCCTGTTTTTCCCTTACATCTCATTTACACATTTCCCAGCCTTTAGTCTCTTTAATTTTTTTATTTGCCCTTTTTTAAAATTCTTCTTGAGGTTTTATTGTTCTTTTTATTATGTCCTTTTGTTTGTTTTCTTCTTTCTCAGGGAGCTGATGTAACAGACCCAGGCACAGAGACGGAGGAGAGTTTGGGAGCGTCTGACTCCACCCAGAGACCAGCAGATTCCCAGACACCCAGCTGTAAGATCCAGGAAACCCTGTTGAACGCACATATGTCGATCCACCTCAGACTCTCCACATGCGCTCACAAACTGTCCCGCCATCTAATTAGTTATCAGACTCTACATGATGACAGAGGAAGATGTAATATGTTGTTGTCTGTCTGAATGAAAGAGAGCTACAGTTCAAGTAGAAGCCAAAGTAAAGATTGTTTTGAACCACCACATAACCTGTGCTTTACTTTGAAAAGGATTAAAATGATTCAGGGTAATTTCGTGCTCTTGAATAGCTGAATGTCTTATAAATGAAACACAAGTCTAAAGCATTTGACTGGTGAGCGGCTGATGATTTCAAAAAAACAAAAGTGAGATACTCTAAAGTAGTTTCTGTGACATGTTTGTTCTTTTTAAAGGTCCCATATTATGCTTTTTTTGGTTTTATATGCCCTTTAGTGTGTTTTCCAAGTCTCCTGTGCATGTTTAGGCACATCTATGCGCAAAAATTCAAAGTCCGCAGAAACGCGGCTTCTCCTACGTCCTCCTGTTAGCTGCAGCATTAGCCGCATGTAACGCTCGGTTCTAGCCCCCCTCTAAAAAAAATTGTCAGTCCGAAGTCATTGTCAGTGTGAGATCACTGATCTAAGCCCGTTGGCTCATTGTGGCAAGCCCTGCAGCTCATGTTGAAATTTCCGAGACGCGTGCAGACCAATCAGAGCAGACTTGGCCCACGTGGGGTCTAACAGTGTGGGCTCAACAGAGCGTAGCTGACGGACTCAGAGCGCAGAGGGAGAAAGGAGGAGCAGTACGTGAAAACAGACACTTTTTTTCAGACTTTAGCTATTGTGAACGTACAAAAGTAGGCACATAGATTAAATATGAACCCCAAAAAGGGCATAATATGGGCTCTTTAATATGAAACACAAATGCATTTGTTTAAAAGAAAACAAAGAAACTACTACAAACAGAAAATAAAAAAATATGAAAAGTTACCAATCTAATAAAATATTTTATTTGCCCATAAATCATTTTAAAAACTTTTTTTTCATAATAAACTAATTTCACAATCTGTTTGACACCTTCCTCTCAAAAACAGTTCATTTTCTTGAACAATCATTGCAGCTCTATTTCTTGCTAATACATAATTTGATTTCTAATACTAACAAATCATCCGAGTCTTTGGATTTTAGAGCCATTAATAATTAACAAGAGTCAAATATTTTTCCTTTTTTTTTTAAATTAATTGAAGTGTTTGTTTGTATAAGTGAGTTTGTATCTCGTACATATCCTCAGCAGTCTTTTAGCAGGTTTTTAAGATTTATAAAGTAAGTATGTCTTTTGGAGGTAAAAAGTGCACACTTGAGTTTGTATTGGTGGCTTTCTTTACATATTTTTTTTTTTTTTTTTTAGCTCTCATCAAATGTATTTATTTCAAAATACATGGACCTCTGCTTATTTGAACATTCTCTTTTGTTGTAGTTGAGGGCAGTACTATGGAGTCTCTGGAGTCAATCTTCAACTCTAGTTCAAGGATGCCCCAGTCACCACGGAGACCAACGCATCAGCAGCCCCCTCGTCTGAACATCCACCCTGCCCAGTCATCTGAGCTGGGGCCACCTGCTCAGGTACAGGTATGATCATTAATCCATCCTCACTAATATGAATCCTCACAGTATCTATATTTTCTGTTACATCTGTGTGGAGATCACAAGAGCTGCTCATCAGTTTGATCAAATCTAACTTCACAGCGGCTCCCCGTTCGTCGAGTCCCTCAGCTCACTCCTGGAGTGCAGAGCAGTGCTGTAGGTTCTCTATTATTACATAAACCATACAAATGTTACTGTTTACTTCTGTTTCTTTCTTATTGCATCTTTGTACTCATTGTTTTCTTCCACCTCTCTCCCTGCAGCAGCACTTCTGTGACGATGATGACAGGATGGTTCCCAGCACTCCCACTCTGGTGGTGCACCGCTCCGATGGTTTCGACCAGGCCATCCAGTAAGTCTCGCACAAATGTACACAACCCAGGAAGTGTGTGTGTGTGTGTGTGTGTGTGTGTGTGTGTGTGTGTGTGTGTGTGTGTGTGTGTGTGTGTGTGTGTGTGTGTGTGTGTGTGTGTGTGTGTGTGTGTGTGTGTGTGTGTGTGTGTGTGTGTGTGTGTGTGTGTGTGTGTGTGTGTGTGTGTGTGTGTGTGTGTGTGTGTGTGTGTGTGTGTGTGTGTGTGTGTGTGTGTGTGTGTGTGTGTGTGTGTGTGTGTGTGTGTGTGTGTCGAATACACTGCTGAAATAGTACACAATCTGATACGTGTGCTTTGGTACTTTGGCAGATTTGTTGAAACTCCCAGCCAAAGACAGCTCTCATCACAAGGAGGTACGCCCCACACAACACGTATTCATAATGCAGGTTGTTAAGAAAATGATAAACACAAAGATTATTGGAAGAGGAGTTTTGTGATGCAACATAAAGCTTTTTTTCTTGTCTTCAGGTCTTGGGCTGTATGAAAGTCCTTTGTATCTAGCGACTCATGAGGAGGAGTCTGGCGGCCGCAGCGTTCCAACGACACCGTTACAAGTTGCAGCACCAGGTATTTGTCTCTTCATCTCTGTTTGACCCTCTGTTAGTCTGATATGATGTATCTCCTTTTTTTTAACCCAGTAAGGGTAGATGTTGTTTTTCTCATTTGTGAAATTTATCAGTTGCTACACCAAATGAAGTGAGACTATCTTGTTTTTTTTTTGTTCCTCTCTTTCAGTAACTGTTTTCTCAGAGGCAGCTCAGTCTGACACCACCGAGCACGCCTCCCAGTCTGTTCCCATGGTGAGCACTTCAACACCGGGCCTGGTTGTGCCAGGAGGAGCTGGCACAGGGGAGGAGAGGGAAGACATCTTCATGGAGCCTGACACTGATAGGTGAGACTCACTCCTTTCAGCTGTTTTTCTGATGAAACTCAGACGTCTGGTTTCTTCTGTCAGCAAGATTTTTTCCCTCTCTTATCATCAGTTTCTATTATCTACAATTATTAAAACTTAAGACCTAATATAAAATGTAAAAAATATTTAAATGAATCAATTACAAAGCTGTACTGAACGCAGGTGTTCACATGCTGACCAAGTGCATCCCATTTGATCTACTGCATTCAGTTTGAAGCTTTATGTGTAAGTGTTCAAGTTGTGTCGTTCTGTTTATTTCAGACCCAGTGCAGAGGTGTCAGTGGATGCAGTGGTCTCACAGGGAGATGCAGAGGAGTCCGGCCAGACATCTGACAAATCCAGCCTCCCCTCCACCAGTCAGGAACCCTCATCCAGCTCTGCAGGTACACACTGCACATCTCTCCTTCTATCATCAAACAGTTATACTCTGCATCTTAACCATCGGTGACCTCTGACTATGAACTTGTGTTTTCTTCCAGACACAAGCAGTGCTCCACCTAAACCCTGTAGACCTGTATCCAGCAGACAGCTGCAGCGCTGGCCAGAAAACCGTGGTGGGCGCATGAAGAGAGGAGGTAACATGTGAAAACAGTTGTTGGTAATGGAGCTAATGAAACTGCCCTGCTTAGTTAGCTGATGAATCAGTCTCAGGTAATTCAACAGCTACAAAAGTGGTGGAGCTTTTTTTTTTTTTGCTCATTATTTGATATTGTGAAAGCAAGCAAACCATGTGATATCAAACTTTAAGTAAAAAGCTCTTAGAAATGTCCGTCTATTTCTGAGGAATGATTTCCTGCAGTGGGACAGACATGCAGTTTGTTTACATGTCCATTCTTGAAGGGGTTTGGAGTGGCCACAAGTTTTTCTGAATCCAGACTAAAATACAGAGAAATGAGAGCTTTTGCAATGTGCTATTTCAAGAAACAGCAGGCTTACGATAACACAAAAAATACTGCAAATTAGGACTTAATAAATGTACTTTGTTTAAAGCCGGAACATAATTACCATAAACTGATCTTTAGGTCTCCTCACTCTGTGACTCATCAGCTGTTTTAAATGAATTGCACCATGTTTTTTTGAGAGATATACATGTAAAGTATGTATTTTTTGCGTTATTGAAAATGTTGATCGTCTGTCCTGCTGTGCACACAAATTCATTACCAGTCAACAGCACTGATTACATGTTTATGTTTGAATATTCAGTTTATTGGTAGTACAGATCATTCCATACATTTGTATACAGCTCCAGTACAAAACTTTTACATGACTTCAGCAGGCATTCTTCTAAAACAACTTCTTTTTTTTTCTTCTTTTTTTTTTTTACAACAGGGTTTCCTTCTCGGTTCTCTCGAGGCTTCCACGGGAGACGATTCCAGAGATAAAGCATGAAACACAAAAAACTTGCCAATCATAACGCAACATGTCATTCCAATCAGAAAACACATTTCAAGTTTAGATTCTGTTTTCAGATTTTTACAAATGTTTTCTTGCTCTGAAGCCTGTCCCCCCCCCCCTCCCTGTTCTTGTTTTATTTTATTTTAATGTGCTTGAAAAGTACGTTTTGTAATCAGTCCATGCTGAAGCATTGTGTTTTATGAAGAATTGAATAAACTTTAAACCTACAAGAAAGTATATTTTCCTTCAATCACAATTTCTTTGGGCACTTGAAGATGTTGTTGCTCTGGGGTGACGTGTTGGCTGCAGGAGCGGGGATTTCAGGACGCCCAGTGTCCATCCTCACTTTGTAGGATTTGGCTGCAAAAGAAACAGAATGATTTGTTGATTTAGCATTTTAATTTGCGAGTGGTATTTAGAATATTCTTTTCATCCATGTTTGTGCCAGTTTCCATTTTAGTGAAACTAAATGTGTTGTCAGCCGTGCCTTCAGAGCTTTCAGGACATGAACTTGGACAGCTCTTGGCTGGCTGCAGCAGGACATACATTTAAAGAGATGCAGTTTTTCTGTGATGACATTAAAGACGAGACATGAACCTTTTTCACACACAGGAGTTGCATTTTTCTTTCAACTATGAATATCATGATAAAAACTTTTACTGTGGGTTTCTCCACATTTAACTGATGCCTGATGGACACCACCCTCTATGACCTTTCCATCTGCCTATAATCCCCCCAACCACACCCAGACACACCCTGACACACATGGTCCTTGTTATGCCTTTCACACAATTGGACAGTTAAAAAAAAAGCCATACTTCAAACAAGGACGTTTTGTCCTTCTGAAGCTTAGCAATAATATGAGCATAGGAGCAGAGACAGATTTTATAACCACACATACCTCTTAAATAATTTCAAAATGTGATTGATGTCTGTAAATGGAGCTACCATTGACATGTGAGAAATAGGTGAGGGAAACTTTCAACAATGGGTGTCCATTCTTCTATCTTATGAAATTGGATGATTTTCTATTTAATTACAAATGAAGTACTCATGATCCAAACTAAATCCACCCTTTCATCCTTACATATGTGTTGGTTATAGAAAAGTACATGTACCTTACTTTTCTGAGATAATGAAGATTTTAATAAAGGCTAACTATGTTAATATTTCATGATTTACTCTTCTGATTAAACTTGGTGCACTTTGCATGTGATTGTAACATAAATGATGGTCAAGATAGGAAAGGTAATCTTGTGCTCTTGCTTTACCTGAATCTCAGAGGTACATTTTATTTTGAATATATCAGGGTTAAATAACCCACGTGTATAGACTTGGCCGGCGTTTCAGTGACTTACATCTTGAGACGACGTAGTATTTGTATCCCTCTGGTTCTCTGTTGCTCGGGATGGAAACAGCAGCTGTGATGGTCGGGGGGAAACCTCTCCATGACGTACGGATGTTGATGGTTGCCCCAAGAGCAGACACTGGAAACGAAACAGGTGAGTGTATAAATATTATGTTTGAGCCAGTTGAAATTATTCTAACACTTAGTTGAATTGTTTTTGTGTTTCAACAGTTACTTAAATGTCACCAGAGAAATCTACTTCCACTTGCCACTTATTTACAAGATGGCCTGGCTGCCCCTCTCCCCTCCAACACAAAGGTATGACTCATTTTTTTCAGGGAACTACATGTGATGTAACTCAAATAAAACATGTTTACTTGAGCCTTTTAAACCTGTTAAGAAAAAAAGTCAGCAAACACCTGGTACACTCATCACAGTAAAAAATATATCCGGGACCAAACACAAGAAAAGAAGGCAATCTAGGTTGCTCTAAGTGAACTCGTACTAAAAACAGAACAAGCCATGGACATAAACTTTATGGCATGATCCAATTAAGACTGGCCAGATGTGCTGGTCATTTCTTTCGGTCTTACCTACATTGTTTGTATAATGTTGGATTTTTTAAACATATTTTACATGTTTTAGTTTATTATTACAACTGTTTGATAATTTCAATGATGCACATCCCATTTTCACCTTTGTTATAATCCTTTTCTTTGTTCCCATAAATGGTTATCTGCTTGGTATGTGATTGGACTAAACCAAAATGAATTAGATGTTTTTTAATAATTAGGCTTTTTCTTTGAAAGAACTGTAAAAACTTTAACAAGTGTTTTTCAAGTAACCCCACACAGAATATGTATTGGACTTCTGTAAGTAGTATGCAAAAATAACAAGTTCTGGTTCGAGATGTCCTTGTTTTATAAACACAAGTCCATTTTGTTTTCCTCTTCTTACCTGCTTGTCGGACAAACCGGTTGCTGACTGTGTAAATGGCATGCTGTGGTTTTCTGCCACACTTTGGACTTGTGCCAAACTGGTAGGAATATTTCTGAACATTTCCCCCTGAAAACACAAATTCCATATGAAAATCATTTTTTTCAGATAATGAAGCAAATCGGAATTATGTCTTATACAGCATTTGATCACCTCTCTTGAAGAAGTAAACGGACTCTCTCCTCCTCTGGTACTGAGGCACGGACAGAGCCGCTGTGATGTGGCCACGAAGCCCATCGAAGCCTGTTTCAACGACCTTTGGATAGCCAGGGTCCAAAATATTTTCATATCTCCAGTACTGCGGTCCCTACAAAGATAAAAAAAACAAAAACATTTATTCTCAGGCAACAAAACTATCCCTGACCAGCACTTAACAAAGTAACTATTAGCTATAAGGAAATGTAAGGTCAAAGACTGCACTTGAGCGTCACAACCATCGGTTCAGATAAGATTTGAAAATGTACCCTGAAAATGTATGTTTTGCCCTGGCAGTTACAGCGGGTGAACACAGTGTCGATAGGGGAGGGGACGCCCCACACTTGTGTGATGTCTTGGGCCTGACCAGGTATCCTGTTTCTGTCCAGAAACCAGAAGTAGTGTCCTGAAAGAAATAACATTTGTACATAAGGACAGTCCAAACATATGTAACTTTGCTTAGAGAGTTCGTTTGAATCTTTTATTATAAATGTTTTTATTTGTATCTTTATATATTATTTATTTCTGCTAAGAATTTCAGGTCTGTACTTATGGGACTCTTCCTTTTGTTAAGTAAGAAATAACATACATGAAGAAAAAATCACTGGGTGCAAAATCTTAACAACAAACTAGTTAAAGTATCAAAAAGTACTCATTAGGCAGAGGAATGCATTACTATTTTACTCATTTACTGTTTTTAAGTAGCAGAAAAAACAAGTAACTCAAATTTGTTCTTGGATTAAAATACTTAACTCTCCACCACTGCTCTCTTGTGCGTCAGTTAAGTTTTATTTTGATTCCCATCAGATACAATTTTCAGATTTAATGACTACGAAGCTGGCACTCACCTCTGAAAACCACTATTGTGCCATTCCTCAGGGTGGTGACTCCACTGACTGGCCGCCCACTGCACAGATTTGTGTCGTTGCTGTCATCTGAGAGAAAAAAAGAACATCAGTAAGACTAAACCATCTGCTTAAACTAGCAAAGCAAGGAAAACCATGGATTTACAGACTGAGTTATTGGGTGTTAAATGTCATTTTGTGCCTCGGGAGCTGAAAGTAAAATAATGTGAAAAAAATAGTTTCACATTAAACCTTTGAGTCCTAATTCCAATTTAAAAGGGCTGTTTGGTTCATTTACAGTGTGGGAAAACAGCCATGTCAGTCACTTAATATAGTGTTGCTACGCTTTGAAGGAGGTTATGTTGACAAAGAGGCATAATGAAAAACAACCAGGCTCATAAAGCTGGCTGTGAACAGACAGAAACTGGAGGCCTCCACTCTTGCAGTAGGGTTAGACCCTTTTTAAATAAGTTAGATGCTAGCTGATGCTAACAGGTCTGACACTGAAGATCTCCCCTCCCTCAACCACTGAGTTTGTCTTGAGGGATTTCCTACCGGCTTGGTAGTCCCGAGGATTGTCCACGTTGAGAGTTTGTGCAGGATCCAGAGGCTTGGTCTCAGGTTTGGAGCTGGGTTTAGCTGCTATTGGTTTAACTGGCTTTGGCTTCAACAGGTCTGGCTTGTCCTGGGGTTTTGATGTTTCTTCTAAGCGTGTGGGTTTGGGTGGGTCTTCAGGGACATTTAGTGGATCTGCTGTGGGTCTTGCTTGTGTAACATCTTCTGTAGCGACATCCCGAGATGCCTCTGTGGATGTTGGGATGTTGGTTGTCAAGGCATCAGGCTCAGACGGTTTCCTGGAGTCGGAAGGAGTTACCCCGATAGAAGGATCCTCAAGGTCTGGCAGAGATGTTGGCAGTTCTGTTGCGACATCCTCTTTGTTGTCTACATCTGGTCCGAGGGCTAAAGTGGCTGTCGTTGGTATGGGTGTTGGGTCCTGTGTGGTTACTGTGGACACTGAAGCCTCAGTGGGGTTGTAGGTTGTTTTTAGGGGTAGGGTTGTATCCTCTGGTTCATTGGTGGAGATTACAGTGGGATCTGTATTCTGTCCCTCAAGAGAAACAGCACCCTTAGATGTGACTTCTGGCACAGGCTCTGGACTGTTGGGGCCAGGAGAATCCCCTCTCGGGTGCTCTGAGTTTGCGACAGGCAGGCTGCTGACAGCTGCTGTTGTAGGCTGAGGGGGAGTTGTTCCTGAGCTGGTGGGATCTCCGGCATCTAGTGGACAAAATATAGACTGTTGTTGTGAATCATTTCAGTAAATTAAAGAACAAATGAGAAACTTTAAATATGAAAAAAAAAATTCAAATGAGAATGATAGAGAACAGTTGACCGTTCACAAATAAACAAGCTTCATCATTTCCCTCTGCAAGTAGTTTAGCTTTGAACTAGAATCACTATGAATTGCATGTTGGTAACCAGCTTCCAGTAACCAGCTTGCGTAAGAGCCCATCCAATTATAATGTCTCCCAGACAAAAAAGAACAAAATAAGGGATAGGTTGTATTAATTCTCATTTTCAAAAGGGTCTGGAGAAGCCAAGCAAGGGCTGGAGGTGCTTAAGAAAAAGAAAAAAAAAAGAGTATTCATTTTCGGTCAATATGTGCTGTGGCCTTTGAAGTCACTGGATCTCATCCCAGTTGGACAACTACGGGACATATTGTTCTAATCAATGCACAAATTGTCTTTATCTTCCAGTAGGGTATAAGAGAATCAAGAGTTGCTTTGATCATTTTCTGGCAGCTGGTGGCAAAACAACATCTCCTTTATAATGTCTTTGATTTACCAACCATTCATCGAATATGTCCTGATATTCCCTTTTCACATACCTGTACTGATAGTGGAGACTTCACCCATGGTTGGGGGTATGGTGGAAGGACTGCTATCTGCCTGTGTCGGCTCATTATCAGCAAGAGTCGTCTTTATTAGAGCGTCTACTGTCACTGTCTCTGTAGTGGTCTCTACAGTGTCTGGATTCTGGGTGGGTTCGGTGGGAAGTTGATCCAGAGGGCCAGCTGTAGACGATCCATAGCCGCTAGTGCTCTCTGGGATTGGAGTGGTTTCCAGGTCGCCAACTGCATCGTCGGAATATTCGTCATTGGGAAAAATATCTACAGGAATGTTACCGTGAGAAAAGATGATGAGCACCTGGATGTCAAACTCGTAAAAACTTCACTGGTGGGAAACTTCTTCGCTGGATTTATTATCCATGCACAACGCCGCTCACCATCATTGAGATCATCTTGTGGATATGATGTTGGACTGACCAGGGGAATAAGATGGTCATCTGTGGGCAAAGAATGCAAAATTAAATAATATCAGTATTTATAACAATGAGATTCGCATGTTTCCCTGAGGATCCACACACCACTAACTGTAACTTTTTCAGACAAATGTTTTTGACATCTCTTCGGATGCAAGAGTACCCCCCCCCCCCCCCATACACACACACACACACACACACACACACACACACACACACACACCACCACCACCCAAAACAATTTCCCTCAAACTATTAATTTAAAACATTCAAGTAAATCATCTGTCATGTTTTCTTGGCTACTTTTAATGCTTTCCTTTCTTGTGACTGAGCCAGTGCCCGTAACCCTCCCACACACTCATGAAAACACTGCTCTCTTGTCTTTATTTTGGCCCGTGAAGCTTATGCTCTTGGCTTTCTCCGGTTCGGTCTTTGCTCCTTAACAAACCGCAGCAAGAGAGCTGCTGTGTTCTCCTCAGCCAACAACAACTTCCTGCCATTTTCCTAACTTATGCCTCAATCAATCTACTGAATTAAGCTCTTAATTATCATTTCAGTTAGTGTAATCCAATGACTAAGGGAACATCAAGTTTCTGCAATTTAAATGTTGTGGAAGTGATTCAAGATGTAGAATAAGTCACCTGTATTGTCTCCCTCGCTGAATGTTGACGACAGATCTGTTGCGTCACCTTGAGGTGGCTCTATAGTCATGAATAAACATACGGAAGTTAACCCAAGAACAATAATCTTTGAATCTAAAAGAGTAACAATTAGGGGGGATAAAAAACCTTTTCCAAGTCAGATGTACCTTTTGGTTTGTTATTATTGACATTATGGCATGAATTAGTCTTCCCTGGTGCTGTTTCACTTGTTGCTCCACTGATTTCTTCTGTGGCAATTACCAAGACAGAGAATATCGTCAACTATAACCAAGTGCATCATTGCAGATTACTGCATGCAGTGCAACACATACTGCGCCACATGCTGGTGGACATGCAGGTTTTCCTCGGTCGGATTCATTCTGACTTATTCCCACATCAGTGTTAATGCGCATGTAAAAATGTCACATTGTAAAATTCTGATTGTTGTGAGACTTGAAAGGTAATCAAACTGAAAAAAAAAAGATACTGGCTGACTTCAACCTGACCATGCAGTCACATGACAATCACTGTATTTATTTATAAAGTGTCAAATTATTCTGAAGACTTGTGAACACTTGTTTTCAAACTGTTTGCTGTCCTCTTAATCTGGGAAGCAAATGCGAAATGAGAAGGAAACCATTACCATGCAGAATAGAACATAAAGACAAGCACATACTCAAAACCAGGCTGGAATCAGGCTTACCTAATGCATCGCAGTGGTTGCTGAAGTCTGAGCAACACTGTTTGTACTTCTCACAGTCGCTGTCGCAGTTACACAGCCGGCCTCTTTTAAAACCCTCTCCACAACGACCTTTACAAGAGTCGCCTGTTGAACACAATCACAGCAAAGTTGAGCAAAAAACCCTTTTACAATAAGACACACACACTGCTTTAGTAGTTAGATTAATTACTGTTTAACATTTTGTTTTTCATGTGATAAATTAAATGTTGATCCCTTGGCAACAAAAAAAGAGTGCAAACTTGAGAAATTAATTAAAGATAGATAGGACAGCTGCATTTCTTTAGTTAAATAAACTGGGATTAGTAACAGTAAATGTGGTTTGGAAAAAGTATGAGGAATATATCAGGAGGGGAATTCTCACTTGTTGTGCACTGAGACTCAAAGTCTTTGCAGCACTCTCCATAAGACAGACAGTTGTAATCACACTGGCACATGTTGCCCCTGTAGTACCCAGAACCACATCGTCCTTTGCAGCTCGCTGTTTGTGAGAAAGAATACAAAGAGAAAGAATGACGGAGAGGGACCTGAAGACCGTAAAATATGATCGGTGCCTTTAATGTCTGGATTTCTTTTTTTCTTCTAAAGCACCGTGCGTGCTTCAGGACATAGTCTGTAAATACTACGACTGAGCAGAGATATTGATTTTTGGAGTAGTGACAAATATATCTGGTAAATAATTATTTAGAGAGTAAACACTGATGAGTACAAGCACAGAAAACATGTGATATATATTCCAGGAAATCCTGTTGTTAAAAGACATTTTTCAGGCAGTCAGAATATTTTCACTTGAATAATTCTAGATGAAATTACAAATTATACTCACACTGAGCAGCACTGAATGTCAAAGCACAAAGCAGCAGAACAACAGCACAAAGTGTAGCAGAAGACATTCTTCCTGAAATCTGAAACCAAGCATAAATCACAAACAGAACAAATAAGTCCTCTGTTTCAGATGTGTTTCAGATTCCAATGGAGGAAAGTAGAAAGTAGCCCACCTTGTTTGAGCGTCTGTCAGAATCCTGCTGAGGGTCTGAGTCGGCTGCTTTTTAAAAGGCAGAAAGAGACCGGCTGACTGCCCGTTAATTGACAGATCCGTTCTAATTAAATGTGTGATGATCTCACAGAGGGGTTTAGGGAGGGTCCTGCAGTCCGGCCACACCATAGGTCTAGACTTCACTAACAGCTGGAAGTACACCAACACACATCTGTGCCAGACAGACGGCTGACTTCACGCACACTTCCGAGCAAGGGAAAAACACTGCTGTGACTAGTTCATTATGTCACAAATGGGTGACCTGGACACCTTTATGTCATCCCAGACTGGTTTATTCAAATCAATACAATATGAGGAGTCCAATAAATCCACTGAAGGCAAGTTAGATCTTAGACTTCACAGTCATTATTTTGTCTAAACTCAGGTTACTGGCATCACACTAGTGTGGCGTTCAAGTGTCTCAATTCATTTAAACCAAATGCAGTTTAGTGATCTGAAGTTTATCCTAATATATCTAATGATAACACATGATAACATGAGTTAATATTAATATTATATTCTAGTATTTACCACATAAAATTCTAAATGAGAAATAGAAATATTAATTTTAATGTTTACTTATCGGCTAAATGTCCTTTCAAAATCAAATGCTCTTTGGCAAATGGACCCTTTCAGTATAAAATGATTTTCATGGATGCACTAACATTAAGCCTATTCTTCTAGCTAATTTTAATACCAACAAAACATTCTGAGCAAGTTTAAAAGCCATTAAAACAATAGAGAGTGATCATCAGTGATTTCAAAAGCTGAAAAGTAAAATGTGAAATATAGAGAAATCACCAGGAAAGGACTTAAAGATTATATTTAATTATGTTGATTGTGTTACTTTCTACGAATGAGAGAGGCAGGATATTTTAAAAGGGATGCATTTGGGATATAAACTGTAAGAACAGTTCATTAGAGGTTATTGTCATCCATGGGATTTTCTAAAATAATGTTTAAGTCCGTATGCGAAGAACCTGTTACCTATGGCTAGCTACAATAACCCTTCGGTACATGAAACAGGTTGTCCCTGTTTGTCCCTGAACAAAGTTAATGAAATACAGTTTGTGTGGTGTGAGGTTTGTCTTAGGCTTGTTTCATTCAGTTTTTAGAGGCAGCAACACATAGAAAATACATTTGATAAAACCAATTCAACTTCAAATGTATTTAAGTTATTCTCAAGGGTGCAACGTTTTTTAAAAATGATTTTTCTCTTATCTTATATAGATACATCTAAAGGTCTAAAAATTGTAACAATTTCCATTACTTAGTGAGGAAAAGAGACACCCCTATAATGTAACAGAGCTTGCTTAGTTTGCTTTAGTTGATTTTTTACCATCTCTTTACCTCATTTAGAAGCTCTTTGTGTGGGTACGAACCCAAGGTTTGTTACCACTGTTGTAGTTTTAGAGATGTTTACATAACTCGTTTTCATGAGCAACAGGCTGGATCTCTCTCACTTTATCAAACTGATTACAGTGGTGATGTATTTTTATGATGTAGGGCTAGCCTGCTCGGGGTATTTTGTGGTCGGAAGTGCTGGTGTTTATTTTCCATCGTGTCATAGTCCAATTAGAGGTAAAACGTTCATTAGTGTTCTGGTGTCAAGACAGTTATGATAACAGGGTCTGGTAAACAAGCTCTGAAATAACCAATCAACATTTCCCCGAGTATATTTCAATGAAAAGAGGAAGTATCACAGCCCTGTTATCTTCATTTACACTGACAAGGTGAAAGGGTCAAAGTTTCAAAAGTAGAGTCAGTGCGCCCCCCTGTGTTTAAATTGTTAACTGAGTCTTGTATTTTTCCTGCACTAGTTTGAAATCTCAAAGCTCAGGCACATGGCAAACTTTGAAGCATGTGGTTCTGATGAAAGTTTGACCATTAAAAGTCTTTAGGTATAGAAGCTCTCTTTTCTTACTGGGCGACTATTGACCCTTTGACCTCATGCATTTACAAGGGCCTTACATAAATGTGTAAACTCTTCCCCCTGGTTCAGATCATTTTAAAAGGGAATCTTCTAAGTGACTATGTGTATGTGACTTGAGCAGAGGCTGAAGCTTGTTCTCATCATATTTTAGCAATTTCTTAATTATGATATAAATAGACAGCCTGACCATTTTTTCTCCTTTTACAAACAACATAATTTGTGATGATGCGTATACATACATGTTCATTTTGCTTTATTGTCTTTTTTCCCTGATTTATTTAGTCTTTCTTTTGTAGTTTTTACATTTTTTATTTTACATTTTTTACTCTTAATGTATAGGTTTGGTTTCTTGTTTTTCAATGTATTTATGCTGTTTTTAATATGCAAAATGAAAAGTTACATGATTTACTTATTATCAAATCTGGGAGGAAGGATTTACAGTTAATTGAGAAACAATATCAGACCAAATTGGCATGCAGTGCACATACAGTGTTTTGCTTAACAAGTAATGCAACCACGTACTTCTATATATAATACAAATGATTTGAAATTAGAATCAATCATTGTGGGTGTTAGTCTTACAATTGGGACTGCTGTGACCTTCTTTTGTCCTGACACAAACATAAACAGCAGTTTTCCTCTTCCCCTCTCTGCAGGCCTTCAAACCCACAGAGAGGCGGAGAGACAACCAGCAAAAGGTAGAAATGTCCCTGAGATGTGGCACAAAGCACTTTCCCATTATCACAGTTGGATGTATTGCACACTGGATCTCCTGGGGGATGAGAAATGCGCTGAGTGGGGAGTCCGCTTGTTTTTTTTTCTGAACCCAGAACTGCGCCTGTGCAATAAGGGCTTCTGTGCTGGCAGCTTTAATCCGTCGACCTGTTCTAGCAGGAGTGACGCTGATTTAAAAGAGCTCGATGAGAAGCACAAACATGGAGACCCCCAGGAGAAGAGGGGATGCAGGGCATGTGGAGGGACATTTTTTTTTGTCTTCTTCCAAGTTGAACAGAAGCTGAATGGCTTCCTGGCTGAGTTCAAAATGTTTCTGATAATTGAATACACTAAAGATGAGTTCTGAAAAGGAAACGACACAGTCTACTAGCATTACAGGAAAAGCAAAGCAGTCATAATCCCTTTATCTTCTGATTTCCCTTTTAAATGAATCTTCAATCAAATATTAGTGAGTGAACATGATTCTTTATTTCTGTTCTCCAATGAGAGAGACTGAAAAGAGCAGAACATTTGTTCTGTTTGTTTATTTGTTTTTCTTATGGTGTCTTCATAGCACTATTTTTTTTTTATTTGACTTTGTTTAGTGACTTTAAAAAATAGTACATATATTTCTTTATGAAAAAAAAAGATTTAACTAAATCTGAAAACCTAAAAATATCATCAAACATAGGAAATAAGAATTATTCTAAAACAAATCCTAAATAAAATAAAAATCTAATGGTTCTAGGAGTGCATGGTTTGGAGCAGCCTGTACATAAAAGATGTAGAAAAATGACGAAGAATACTTTATCCACAATTAACACTTACAAAGCATGTACAAATTCATCTTAAATACTTACAGCCTAAGATCTATTGTTTTAACAGCGATGATTGTGATCTTTTCAGTATGAATTAGCAGATTTATTTAAATTCATAAAATCTCGAAGCAGATTTTAACTATGCTGATCAGACTGTTCATATCTTTAAACGTGTTGCTGTGAAACCAGAACATAAAAGAACGAATTCAAATCAGACTCAATACAAGATTGATCAAAGGACAGAGGATAACAAGACCGACAGAACAGAAATGAAATTCTCTGTTTCGTGTCGTCCTTAACGTGCTGAAGAAGATGACTGTTGAAAGCCTTTCATCTGACATCCGTTGAGTGCACTGATGTAAGAAGTGAGACATGATCAGAAAAGACCTTTAGAGGGAGACAAACTCGAGCAGATCGTCTTCTGTCTGCAGCAGCACTCACTGAAGGATAAGAATAGGAACAGCAACAGGTGGCACAGACTGATGATGCCTAATTAAATTTGACAGCTACTTCACTTTTATTTTGAAGACTTTTGCAGAGGATTAAAGGCTCAAAAGATTATCCTGCATTTCATCTGTTTGTGCAGATGGAAGTGAGGGACACTGCCAATCATACAGAAATATAGGGTTTAATGCTTTTTGTGACACCCCCCTGTATGTTTATCCTTCTCTCAACATATGGACAACAACTCTATAATCATCAGAATCTCGTTTTCTGACACTCACTGATATTTAATAACATATTTTGCCTTGTGACTTTCTGGTAAACGACTTCTGCCTGGCTGTAGCTCAGTAAACATCTCGAGATAAGCTCACCATCGCTGCACAGGAAATGTAGACTTACTAGAGCTCCATGCTGTGCTATTTCCCTCTCTCTGACATTGCCTGTGCACCCCGGTGTTCATTTTAATATTGCATCACATCAAGCGTTGACAGCTTCAGCTCATCTTTGATGTGTAAAGAGCGCCTGAAAGGACATGGGAAGTTGAACCAGTGAGTCATATCAGCTGTATATTTAGTGGTGTCATCATAAACACCAGTCGAATGAACCTTTGACAGAAAATGCAAACATATAATATCTTATTTTATTTCATTGTTTTATTTTCTTAATTTGAGTTGAAGATCAACCAGTGCAAAGCATCTCACAGAGTAGACTTTTTTGTGAGACAAAACAAAAGACAACAAACAAAGAAAATAAACATACAAGCTAAATATTCATGCGCTGCAAAGAACCAGTGGGTTATAAGACAACAGTTTAAAAAATAAATCTGTTTCATAAGGGGTTAATAAACTCAATCCATTTTTCAAATATGTCACTTTCAAGTTACAATCCATGTTTATTTTTTCAATATGAAGATCACATGTATCACATTGAATCACTCTTTTAAATCCATGGTTCTTTGACATCATTTTACATAATTATACTTCAACATTATTAATAACGTGTAGGCTTAAGAGAAAACAAACAAACAGTGGTGAAGCCTTACCCCAATAGAAGACCGAAAATTAAAAGTCAACCTTTTTTCAACTCTTTCCATGTTAAATAAAAAAATGACTAAAGAATAACTAGTAAGCTGTAACCTCAGCATTAGAATAGACTTTTCATCGAATATCTGACAACAACATTTCCGTGCCTATATTTAAGCTGTGGGTGAAACCGCGACTGTGGACTGGTTTTAACTGCAGAGCAAAAATGATCTTCATTCTGCAGCATATGTTTCTTACAGACCTGTGTGGTGAACTGATGGAGAGGACTGATTTACCTCCTCCCTGTCAATCTAAAGCACCTGCCATAGCCTCCACTGTCAGCGTTTTCACCTTTTGATCATGATAAGGCGTGGGTATGGAGATACATATTTTCCTGTCACACATCCCTGAAGTAAATCCTGTGCTGGTTTGATGGACATTACTGTATCACTTCTCTTCAAACAGCCCATCTATCACATGCATATAGTAATGTGCAGGTCAAATTCTGACTATATTTCATTCATTGCTTTGTGACGTACATGTAAGGCTATAATTGAAGTATATATTTACATTTTTCTGTACTGTTCACTGCTTGTACACAATGTATGTATATATTTATAGCCAGCAAGTACAGGGAGCATATTTTTGACAAAAATGTATGTTCCAATTTTGACTAAATCAATACATGTAGCATATCTTGGTTTCTTAAGTCTGCAGGGACATTGCAAGGTAGACATCAATGCTGGATTTCTGTTGTATTGTAGACTTTTGAGGGCAGGTAGTGAGCCACATTTCTCAGTTATCTCACACGGGTGCAATAGGGACCCAGAAGTTATTCAAGCAGCTAAAGAACAAGTCTATCCCCAAGACACAAAACTATTTAATAAATACATTTGTGTTGTGGTTTAAATGAAACCTGTTGTGACTGTATGCAAAAGCTTTGTTCATGTGCACTTCTTTGTGTATTGGTAGTTAATAACAGGGTGTACAAAGGGCCTAAGGAGGCAGAACTGCATAGACACACAAGTCAATGTGATGAATGAGCATCAAATGATGAGGGATCTCTTACATGTTTTATCCTATCAAATCTGCCTTTTATCCTCTTAAAATGTTACTTTCATCTAGCTAAAGCTCAACTATCTTAGAGTGCGGCCAAATATACTGTTCAAGTCTACAAACCCTGCTGTATTTTAAATTGAAGTCAACAAACTTTCCAGCCATTCCGAATATACTACAACCTGACACTTTAAATGGGAAATCCACAGGGTGACAAACCATCTAGCTCAATCTGATGGAACAGTGCGTCCATGAAAAATGGAGTCATAACTATCAAAAAAAAAGAAATTGTTTATTAATTTGTTTGTTTATTTTCATGTGCAGCACAGATAGGCATTAGCCTATAGAAAGATTGCAATACATGTTTAATATATAGTGTTAAGACAAAATCAACAAAGCAAATATAACCACCTTCAGTTGTATACACATGTTTCTGTATGAATATTGCACATGACTGTGTTTGCATTGATATAGGCCTATAGCTCTAAGTATGTGGGCTTATTTGTAAGTGACAAGATTATCATTTTAAAACGCAATATTCATCATTCAGCAGCTTGAGGAGCGGAAACAGACGGTAGGCTACATGTGATAGCTTTCTTTCAGGCAGTAATGCGTTAAATGGGGAGCAGTCTGCTACACTCAAGTGGTTAATGACTGAACTTTCCTTCACCTTTGTTTCATGTTATTACAGAAAAGAGAAGATAGAGAAATCACGTCTTTTAGCTCTTTTTAATTTTGTTTCTACGTCTGTATTTAGTAGGTGAAAAAAAAAAATATCCAATAGGCTTCTGGTATACTCTGTAAGACCCACCTTCTTACGGTTGCTATGCCTACTCCCCGTTTCTCGTTGACTGACTGGTGGAGTAGCCAATCAGCGTCGAGCTGGGCGGGAGTTTGCGCGCACACTGAAAAGTGTCTGGTGAATTTCTACTACAACAGTCAAACCGCTCAGAGTGCACACTGGTGTCGGACGGAGGGAGCCGAAAGGATGGGAAATGTAATATAAACGTTGTTGGGGAAAAGTCTGTACAGGTAATTAATTAATCTTCTCGTTTCGCTCCATTATTTCCCACGACTTCCTTTCAGAAGGTGCCTCATAAGACAGCGCTAAAGCTAGGCTATTAAGAATACCGAGTTGGTTGTGCATGGTGGCAGTGACATTGTTGAATTAAAACTGGCAGCAGTAGTGGCACACGCTGGTGTGGCATATGAACGGAGAAAAAATAAGCTTAACACTTTGTTAGAAAAACCTATAAAAATAAATGAACTATGACATGTTAATGCAGAGTTTAAACTTTAATGGGGAATGTTAATTTAAGCAAACCAAGATATGTTTCCTGTGGAATCAAGATGTGCTTCTTCTGCTGAGGTGGGGCAGGGTTTTCTTGGACTGGATTTTGATATTAGTCCCACTGACATACATTCAGCTTTCTCTCCTGCTCCTGATGCTGAACTATTTTAGAGCTGATATGTTAGGTTTCTGTCTGTGGGGGGTTTAAATGGATACCACTTCATTTCACCTGTATAATAAGTCATGTTAATGTCTTTTGCAGTTTATGAGCAGGTGAGTTTGTGCAATCATGTGAAACTAACTGTTTGAGCCCTGCAGGATTTTCATTGAAGCCGGTGTTTTCACATTAGTACTTCAGAGTTTAAAGAATCTACCAGTTGAACATCCACATCTCAAGGTGGTTTTTAAAATAATTGTTTTGAAGATATCATTGGACCAAAAACTTGTCAGAAACTTTCCAGTCTTTTCATGAGCACTAAATAACTTTTGGAGCTGTTGGAGAATCCATACATTGATAAGTTGATAACCTAAACTGTATTGTGTGATCTGATAACTGATTTATGTGTTTGAATCTTTTAAGCCAAAAAAAAATGCAGGTCAAAATGATTTGATTTCAGCTTCCTAAATGTGAATGATATATGTTTGTTCACTCCTCAGTGACGGTTAACTGAAAGTGGTAGGGTTGTGGTTGAAGATAACAGAACACATTTGGTTACGTCTTCTCTGGCTGTGGAAAACCCTGACTGATATTTTTAACTGTTATCTGACATTTAACAGACACAATCTGGTTGATAATTGGAGAAAATGATCACCGAAGAATAGAATTGTTCTTGCTGCTATATAGTTTTAGTTTGTCTGTAATGTGATACATTGACACTTATCAGTAAACATAGAAAATGATTCTATAATGCAGATACGTCTTAGGCTGAGATCATTTCTGATATCATCAGTTATTCATGACAGCCACCCCCTCTCAACAGGCCCCAAAAGTGATATACAACCTGTTCTGGTTTTTACTGCTGATCAAAGACCCATATTTGGTTTCTGGGTTCGATGGAGAGCCGGCCGTTCATGCAAATATTAACTGGTCTGTAAATATCCTAAGTGAATTCTTTGACACAGGTATGGCAGCCATGTTTTGCCTCTGTTGGATTACGTACCTGACATTGAGCCACCCAGTTTTTTGCAAATAACCTTCTTCTCAGGGCGGATAAAAGTTTGAACAAGTTGGCATTAGTATGATAATTCAGTGTGATGCTGCGTTGATTTGATTGAAGTATCCTCCTTGAGTTTCTAAAATTGAAAATTCTATAAATAAGCTACAGTATCATGCAGTGTTATATCTGAACACATGAAACAAACTTGATCAACTATGAAAATGGGCTTCACATTTTTTATATTAAGATGATGCATAGTAGGCTGTTCTTGTAAAACCACAACAACGCTGATTTGAATTCATTTAGGGAACTGTGCTGCATGCCAACCCCCCTTTATATTCATCATTTCCTGTCACACTACACTATCAATTACAAAACAATAATATACAGATTGTCAACCAGGACTCTAAATCCATACTGTTTTATTATTAATATTTGTCTTGTTAAATCATCTTTTTAAATCTCAATAGGGACTGGCATCTGGTAAGTTCAGGGCTTCTCCTGTTGGCAGTTTGCTCGATTGTATCACTTTTAGCAGGTGCAAGGCAACCACCATTTGGTTGCACTAAAGCAAACCAACTGGAATTCCCCTTTTATCTGCCTGGTGTATGCTTAATTTCTCATAACCCACAGTGTCTTTATACTGCAGCAGTCTGTCTTTCTGTCAGTATGTGTTCTCACTCTGAATGTGAGAGCAACACGCAGGAGGAAGGAGCTGAGCACTGCTTTGTGTTTCACTATCAAAGTACACTCCTGGTGCCTTGGGTTCAACGTGAGATCAACCTTTCCTCCCAGTTGTATGGAGAGATAGAAGATGTTTTAAAGGGAGGGGGAGCTTTACTATCAAACTATGATAGTATACTGAGAAATGTGCGCACGTTGGCTGAGTGGGTAAGCTGAGGGCTAGAAGCTAACATTGTCACTTCACCAAAAATGATGAAAATACTGCATGGTAACAGATTGCATGATAACACACTGACATGTTGAGAGGATTCCCAGTGAAGAGCTTAGGCGCTGGTTGAATGTCGATGTGGAGGGGAGTTAGAAAGTCTGTAAAAACACTTTACATCCATTGTAAAGCTTGTTTATTTTTAGATCCCAGTGATCACATGTACTGCTTTTATTGGTCAAAGTGGGCTTCATTTGGACTTTTATTAAAGGTAAAACCGATGATAATCATAGACAAAAGGTGGTAGTTTCAAATAGATTATTATTTGCTCTGGTTGATAGTTTTACTTGACACAGCCTACATTTTACACATTTATTCATTTTTATTTTCTAGATAAAAATACTTCCAAACAGCGTTGCTACTACGATATGCTATTCGCTCACTGTGCTTGTTTACATCCGGATAGTAGAGTGAGGAGAGCAGGCCAGTCTATGGCTACAGCCCAGCCAGTGGGCGGAAAGCTGTGCTGCAGTTTGAGCATAACATTTGATCTTCATCAAATGCCAAAATACTAATAATTAATACACCAAATACACACATCCCTGATAGAAACCATTAAAAGGAATACACAGAAATCACTCCATTTGGGAACATAGGTGGTATAAAACAGTGCCCGACACTTCGGTGACAAGATTTGGTTGATTGGCTGCTTCCTCACAGTCACAGTCGGGAATAACCAATTACTAGACACAAAATTGAAAAGCCTGATGTTTTCAAGCCTGATGTTTTTCAGCCTGACTTTCACCTGTCCAGACTTTAGATATAAAGGTTGTTAGGAGCTGTGAGGAGATAAGAAAGAGGCAGTTAAATAATGCGAGATCCCTCTTTGCATTTCCATTTGAATGGATGTCTGTGCCGAGCTGACACTTTTATCTGAGAAGAACCTGCTGAACCGTCCTTTTTCCAAAATATTCAAACAAGCAGGTACGCTCATGTGCACACGCCTGGAGTCATGCATAGTTGATCAGCCGGACTCCAGCTTCCCTGATGACTTGTCTCTCTTTCTCCTTGACCTGTAAGGATCCTCTTACTACAACTTATTGTGATCCTTTTGGCTCTCCTAAAACACATTTAATTGTGCCAATGACAATATTAATAATACATGTGTAGCCTGTCATATGTAGGCTAGAATGCTGCAGGCCTCCCCTCTTCTTTGCCAAGAGGGACAGAACCCAAAGGCATGAAATATGAGGCAGGAAACTATCACCTTTTATTTAAAGAATACTCAAACAGAACTCTTTATACTTTCATTTCAGAGCCTTCGATATAGGGGACATATATTTCTTCAATCATAAATTCAGGTGCAGATATGGTTACTCGTCTTTAAGTTCAGCTGACAATAATAGGTTAAATGTTGTCTTGTTAAATGTCTTCTGGGTAGAGCAACGACCTGTGCCTGAGGTTGTGAATGAGCCCAGCCAGGGTCTCCTCATGGCAGATGGGAGGGTCCGGGGGCGGCATCCCCTTGGCTCTGGTACTGGATCTATTTCTGGGTTACTGGTTCATGTAATGCTGTGATCAAAGGCAAGCATGATAAGGAGAGAAGATTGAAAGAGAAAGTTGTTATGATAATTTGCTTAAAAGTAGCATGATTTCAATTTGAGATTAGTTAATTACCTCTGAGTTAAATAGGAATCAGCCACTAAGAGGGAAATATTTAGTATTATGAAAGGCCTAAAATAGTTTATTAATTCAGAGTTGGACTACATAAAGATGCATAAGGTTGCTTGTCTTAAAATGTTTTTTTTAATCCTTTATTTATTTGTTTATTTATCAGTCTGTTAATCAATCGACAGAAAATCAATCCGCTACAATGTATAAAAAGTTATCTAGCAAAAGTGTCAAACATTGGCTATCTGCAGCTTCTCAAGTGTTAGGATTCGTTTCTTTTGTTTGTTTTGAGTCATTATTGTAAATTTAAAATCTTTCGGTTTTGGGAAGCTTCGCTCAAACGGGCAATTTGTATCAGTCAACTAGTTTATTTCTTTAAACGGATTTAAAGATGTTCCAATACCATACTTTTTTTTATCTTGAAAACATTTATCTGCGGATATTGAGTGTTAATAACACCAGTTACATTAAAAATAAACAGTATAAGTCTGTATAACCGAAGCTTAGCGTACTGTACAAATTGCTGTTTAACTGGTGTGATTGTGTTGCCAAGTTTGCATATTGCTGATATTAGACTAGCTCTGTCTAACAATATTCTCTCTCGTTTACTGTTTTCTCCTAAAAAACAGGAATCTGTTGCTCTTGGAAGCATTTACCGCTGTGGAAGGCCAATATACCGAGCATCCATGGGTGCAGCATAGCACTATTTGCTGTTCAAGCTACTATGATTTATTACTGAGATTTATATTATTACTAAGATTTATTTTATGGCTTTCTTCAGATATGACAGTGGATAGAGTCAAACACTGGAGGGAGAGAGAGTGTGGAGTGACATGCAGGAAAAGCCACAGGTCAGCTTTGAACCTGGGCCACCTGCCTTGAGGACAACAGCCTATGTACATGGGGCATGAGAACCAACTGCAAGGCCAACCTGTGCACCAGACCTTGTCATATTTGGTACCAGATGGGTGCATAGACTGTACTAGCCTTGAACCAAAATGTATTTTAGTCCGGCACATATAAAGTACTGGTATCGGTAAAGGAACAACTCTAATACAGACCAAATGATTACTCATATAACCAATAATGACGGATAATCAATAAGGGAAACTTTTCCATACAAGTTTTTCTTGTTTGTTTTTTCCTTAATTATTCAAAAAAGAGATAACAGACAAGTAGGCAGACTGAACCAGCAACAGTTTTGAAAACCACTTGATAATTGAAGTCATATATCAGAACAGTTTCCTGCTTCAGCTTCTCTAATGTACAGTATGAATGATCTTCATCGCTCTGTTTGACATCATTTAAATAGATTATTTGGGGGTTTTTAGATTATTTTTAGTCAAAACAAGGGAATGATTGTTAGTGGCTGCACTAATTGTTGTGTTTGGTTGACTGGCAGGAGAGTTGCTGGCATTGGTTATATGGTGAGATCATTTTTCAACAGGAATCAGAGATAATACTTTATTGATCCCTAGAGGGGAACTTTGGGAACAACAAGGAAAGAGGAGGGAAAGAAGTATTTAACTTTAAGACATATACAGACTTTTTAAAGAGTATATTTATGGTTCTACATTACATTTTGCATATCTTTTAACATGTAAAACGAATCTCAAGAGAGAATATTTAATGAAAATGAGTCATCTAGTTGCCGAGAACTGACCACAAATGTTAATCAGAGCTTGAAATGCGTCCTCAGTCTCTCCTCCGATACAACAAACTGTAGTGTTAGACATGATGTTTTTTTCCAATCACAGCTGCACTTCATGTGTGTTCATCACCAGCTGTGTATGGACCTTGGTGTGTGTTGTGTGATTGTTTTCTATCACTCGGCTGGTCATGCCGGGGCTCAGAAGTGATGCCCGCCTGGCACGTTGTCACAAACTGGACTAGACTGAGGCTATGTGCCGCAGTGACAAAAGCACATTCAGGCCAGGACAATGGGGAACTGACAGCCGGGGTTGTGATTATCACTCTGCTTGTCTCCCTCTCTCTGTGTCTTTCACTGCCTCCTTTTTATTGTGTTTGCTGTCTCACTGTCTTCCTTGCTCGCTTTGTTTCAGTCACCAGAGATTCAAGCACACGTTCACCAAGCAGCCTGTTTATGGATTTAAAGGATGCGCTCTGTGCAGTGTGTCAGAGCTGCTGTAGTCATCGAACACAGGCTGCAATTCTGTCATCAAGTTGGCGTTGATGTGATTGTTGGTTTCAGTGTGTGTTTCAGTGTGTCATCATAAAGTGCAGGCTCTGGTTGTAGTGATTTTGTTGGAGCATCTGGATTTGTGGGCTGTGCTGACAATTTGTCAATTTATCTTGTCTTCATCAGTGACTCACCATGAGGACATTTTGTATCCAATGAGTAGAGTTTGATACAGGCAGATAAAGTGATCTTCATTTCAGATACCTATATGTCATGTGTATCATCGTTTATTGACTTATCTTGTTTTTTTTTCCTGGATAAATGGATACATTAATAAAACTTTTGTTTCACAATAACTTGGTTATGTTCTAATGCAAAAACAAACACATTCTAAATCCAAAGGCCTTTACTACAAAACGACTTAAACATACCTGGTTAACCTTTTGGTTACCTGGCTTCACTAATCCTGAAAAGGTTTTGCGGAAGGCGGAAGCTGCTTTCAACTCGATAAATAAACCCAGAGTTTCTGAGTGTGTTCACACAGCAGAGAACTCTTGTTAGTTAGACATGATCAAATACAGTAACCAGATTGCCATCAGCAGACCTTCATAATTAACAAACTCAGTGCAAGTATTCTGATATTAAAAAATATGAAGAAGTTGAATACATACTCAAGAGTAAAGTATCGCATCTGCAACAAAAACAGCAGGAAAAACAAACAATCACAGTGTGAATATGCAAATGAAGCTTTACGATAGCCTATTAAGTTAACATCATTAGTGCAGAATTTATCCTAATATTGAATTCCTGTTTCTTTCCTTGAATTAATAATTTTCTCATGTGTGACGTCTTGACAATATAAGAAGTAATATTTCAGCTGCATATCTGATTGTAAACAGAGCGGTATTGGGCTTATAGAAGTGGTAGAAATCACCTGTGAACTACCTTCATAGTACTGTAAAGCCAGAGTTTACCCTGAAGTAACTTCGCTAGCCAAAAAACCTGCATGGTAGGAGAGGCCTCAATAGGGCTGTGCATCTTCACTGATCTCACAAATGATTCTTGACGATTATCCTGTCAACGATTCAATTGGATATCGCAATGGGCTGCACCCTCAATTTTCTATTCTAATATTACTTTTTCATCAATGAAGACAAGCAATCAGATACATTTGAACTCCCTTTTTTATTAATGAGTGCTTTAGAAATCAATGTCAACATTTCTTTACATTGTTAACCAAAACAAGATCCAAAATATTTGTGACTTAACTTTCCCGCCCCTGATGAAACTGCTACCGCAAAGGCTAGAAGAGCTGCTGCCCATTTTTAAAAAAATTTTTATGGCATTGAAACTAATACCTTTACCATTTTTAATCACTACAGGATACCGTATTACCACTGTGGTCTGTGACATGCATTTGAAGTTCAGAACCCTTTGAAGGTTCAATTTTTGGGCTCAGACTGCCCCTCCAAGGTGAAGGGTTCTCCCACTATTTGAATTGATTTGTTTGTCAATGGGAATGATACAAACAGGCAAATGGGTTTGTTGAAAGAATAATCTTCTTCTTTAAAAGTCTATTTTTTTCTCCCTTGAAAAAACTCTGTAAAGTCTTGCTCTAATAACAGGCTCAGCAGTGAGTCATCTCAGGCTGGTAGACGTAGCAGAAGGGTGCAGAAGTCTCTCTGTGGTGTTGAAGGGGAAATTAGGCCTGACACAAAGTGATCTCTCCTCCACGCTCCGGCAAATCAGGTTTAAAACTAATACTGAAGGACAGACGAGTCGATCTGCAGTGCAGCAGACTTCTCTGTGATGCTCCAGTCTGTTTGTCCTCATCCTACCTTTCACTTACAATAAGAAAAAGACTGACTGCAGTGCTGGGCCTTCAAAAAGAAATGACTTTGAAGATGTTTTTTATAAAACATGGATAGGCCTTAGGGCTTCAACAAGTGATTATTTTCTTTACTGATTAACCCATTGATTATTATTTTGAATGATTGACTTAGATAGTGAAAAAATCCCACTCACATTTGCTAAGTCCTCAGTGTAATGTCTTCAAGTATTGTTGTTTTGTTGGACCAGTAGTCCAAACCCAGAAATGCGTAAAAGATAATCAATTCAAATCTTCATAATTCAGAAACTGGAGCAAAGAAATGTTTGGCATTTTAAAACAAAGAAATGTCAAGCTTGTTTTTCAGACTGAAAAATCTCAACAGCTCTTAGAAAATTGCCAGGAAAATGTTTACAAATATTGATGTTTCCACAGATAGTGAGTGTATTAAAAAAAAAAAAAACAAGTTGCCAGCATAGACTGTAAATAATAGTTGACGAAGCCAGAGTGACGCCACCCATTGGTTACTTCAGGAGACTTTGGAAGCCCATCAATGGCGGTCGCTGTGCTGGAGTCAGTCAGGGTCAGTCAATCAGGTCAGCTTTGAGCCTTATGGGGAATGACTCTTAATCTTCATTAAAAAAAAATTCAACAACAATTGGCTAGATTTCATTTGAATATGGTACAGATAATACTGTTGCCCTCAGCATGAATTGAAATTGTGCCATCAAATTATTAATTTGTCTGGCATTTTCGGTTATGACTAAAATACCTGCAACATTTTTGATGATGATGATGATGACATTTGGCTGAAAGCAACACTGTGCCAAAGTACAGACTAGACTCAATCAATCAATCTTTATTATACAGCAACAATTCATAACACGAATATGGGTCAGTACGTAAGGATGTCAGGAACATCTTTAGCATGTAAAACACAAACTGTAACATAATTCTCTTCAATCATCCATCTTGTTTATGCAGCAGCCACTTTTCTCTATCCTTATGCCTCATTTGTCCAACGTGTCCTTCACCTGTTTGGAGGCGTATATGTTTACTGGTCTAATTCTGCAACATGTCTGGTCTTGTTTGCAGTCTTACCAATCACCTTATTATCTTTTTCTCACTGCTGCCTGTCCTTTCTTTTTCTTCATGTCATTTCCCATCTCCCTCCAGCTTTGCTCCCTGAGCGTATAACAAATGTGCCTGTTTAGAGGTTACTGAAGCATCTTTATTCTACTGTGGCTGTGTCATTTCATTTAACCCAAATCCATTTATATTTTTTTGCTGTTTGAGCCCAAGTAGAAGGCTGTTTCCAGGCAATTTCACCAACAGTGTTAGGACCGACATAGGGGATAATTTCAGCTCTCTCACCAAAAGGAGAGACAGAGCAGGTGGAGGTGGGGAAGGGACCGGAGTTTGTGGAGACTTACCCTCCTTCACATCTTTCTGAGAGACATCTGCTAGCAGCTCTCTCTATCTCACACACAAATAGAGTTAGAAAAGGGAAATACAAACAGAAATGCTTAGTATGGGTGGGGCGGATGCACCATTAATTTCCTGCAGGAATTAAATGGGCTGTGAATAGTTTTTCTCAGTGTATGACACCCCCCCCCCCCCCCCTGCTTTACTTTGGTCTCATTTTTCATGGCTGCCATCTGTGTGTTGTCAGGCAGTGCGAGGGTGCCAGAGAGCAGGAGTAGAGGTTAGTGTGTCTCCATTGATAAGAATGATTACCTTGACTCCTGAACTAACCCACTTTCTGCCTGTGGAAGATATGAGTTTCATAAAAAGCCTTCCATTTCCTTATTATTATTATTATTTTTTGCATTATTAACTATTTAACTTTACTGCTGCTACATCTCACCACACTCTCTCTTTGTTTATGTGACTTTTTAACCAGTCATACAATCATCTACCATAAAAACAAGGGTAAATCAAGCTTCAAGGATGAATTAGTAAACAAGTTTCAAAATAAAGTATGTATGGTTCTGAACTGCAGAGAGTAAAACAGAGAAACTTAACATTCTTGCCCTGTTCTTGGCATGGCACGTTGGTCTGTTTTCAGCCACTTTTGTACTGACTTCAATATGCCTACAGCTTTAGGATGGTGTCTGTGTAGGTTCTCAGTCATCCAGGCCATGGTAATTTGAAGCTTGATCCAAAGGAAGGCAACTGGACTTGATTTAAGAATTGATAGAGCTATTGATAGACCTAGGAAGACCTTAAACCACGGATAAAACGGATCAAGCTTCAAATAACTATTGGATGGATTGCCAATTTTTATTTTTACAAACATGTTCTGATCTGTAGGATGAATCCTACCAGCTTGTGTGATCCCCTGACTCTCCACCAACACGAGTGTGTGAAATGTTGTATATAAAGGAGTCAGCTGATACTACTTGTCCATTAAAGGCCTTACAGAGCTTGCATATCAGTTTGGCTCTTTTAAAGACCTGTGGCATTCCCATCAAACTTACGTGTACTTTTTATGTGGTTCTAATAAACAAATATAATCATACTGGCATGTTAAACTGGGGCATCTGTGTCATTGTGAACATTTTTGCATGCCTATGCAAAAATTGATAAATACTGCCTCATTAAGCTAGTAGCATGGCTGTAGTCTTTAAAGCAAATTTTTATGCCAGCCTTCTCTCGGGTGAGCTGACATGTGGACACAGCAGTTAATATTAAAAGCTTCACCCCCAGTGAGGTGAGGGGGTTTTCCACTCGTTGGTTTTTACTTTGAATATGTGCATGGGTACACACACAGTAAGACCCAGATTTGCGGGGGCATTTAATTTTTGAATAAAAAATGATCTTGAGCAAGAGGAACCAAGGTCACAGTGTGTCCCACTTCTTCTCTGCTTGTTTGCCTCAGAGCTCATTTCAGCTGAACGTTTAGAAGGAACCAGATGGAGAATGCTGGGTGTCAGCTACTTCCATACATCCCACCATGGCTGCTGTCCACATGGGGTCCCAGAGCACACCTCTCTCTGTCTCTGTGTTTCTGGATCATGCTGTGTAAAAACCATGAGGATGAAAACAAGGACAAAAGCTTATCACTGAATGATAAATAGGTTGCACTTAAATAGCATGTTTCGGTTTTTCTAACAATTCAAAGTACTTTAACGCTACATGTCAAATTCATACATTGATGGCAGGGTCTGCAATGTGCCAAACTGTCCATCACTACTAATCACAGTAACACAAATTCTCACCACATTGACAATGACGTCAGGTGTAACTTTGGGGTTCAATGTCTTGCCCAAGGACACTTCCACTGTTGAAGCTGACGATGGAACCTGCAATTTTTTGATTGAGAGATGAACCACAGACGCCCAATTTTAGTTCCCCTGCCACATTACTTAATGGAAGTCATAAGTTATCAAGATAATACTTTTGTCTTTCTGTATCTTTGTCTCCTCTGTGGAGGACTAACCTGAGCTGCCAAACAGAAACGTGTCTGCAGGGGCCCACAGTCCCACTGCTGAGCTAATTAACAAGGTGTGAGCTGTGTCTGTGTGTTGTTTCTTTCTCGGTGGGTTGATGCTGCTGCTGCATGCCAGGTCACCTGCCTGAGCTGTGTCAGTGCCAATACAGAGAAAGGGCTGTTGTCAACACACACAGGCAGCCCCGGGGAGACCATTTTTGGGCAGGACCAGATTCCATTGCTTTACATGTGTTGGTGTGAGTGAATGTTGGGGGGGGGGGGGGGGGTCAGAGGGTGCATACTCAGCAGTGTTTATTCCCTCCTGACATTAGTAAATTAAAAAGCTCCTCATCCTTAACTCACTGCCTGAAGCAACACTAACTTTAAAAGTTAAGGTGACCCTAACCCTTACTTTGTGGTTTTATCTTTGTGATTTTGAAGGTTAGAGTTAGACTTTGATAGTTTAAAGCAACATTCTGTAACGTTTTGTTGTTATGGAACACTAATTTGTAATTGGGAGACTGGAGCCTCTATCAATTCCACTCTACACCCTGAATACATTTTCTTTTTATGCCACTCTGTTGTTCTTCATGTTTTAAAAATACCTGTGTTGGCTACATGTCTCTTCTGAATCCAAATGAAATCCCCCACAAAAATAATTTTCACCACTAAATTGTCACCAATAAGCTGTAGGTATAGCTGAATCAATTGTGCTGCTCTGCTCACTAGCATCTGTTGTATTTAGTTGCAGATACAAAAAAAAAAAAAGGTTACAAATGGAGCTATTCAACAACAGCTTGGGACAGAGACTGCTCAGCCAATCAGAGCCGAGCTCCGCAGCTTCTAGTTTCACAAGTTGTGATCATCTCCTTGGTGGTTTCCTCCGTAGCTCGGCTTGTTCCCTCCATCGATTTATCTCCCCTCGCTGTCCTCCCCCATCTCCCCTGTCACTCCTCATCTGGGCTTCCTTCCTCTGCCCCCTCCATCCTCAGAGTCAATCCTTTGAAGTCATTTTTAAGCTCTACTCTGTTCTCCCTCAGGAGCTCCCTTCCTACACTGAAGGTGTCTGAAGAGGAGCTGCTTTAAAGTCAGGACTTTTTGAAGGTTTCTTTACTTGCAATTTGCAGAGACTTCAATACAACATTTGATTGTCTAAGGGCAGCGATAGGCTGAACGTTTTACAAATTATAACAAGGAACCGATAGCATCATCCTCTAGGTGTATTTAGAAAGCAGTCAGACTATGATGAGGGGAATGCAATGAGGTCAGGCAGATTAAAAAAGAAGTATCACCCTCTTCTTCTCTAATGTTGTTTCTTCTTTTCGTCCTTTTCTTTCCAGATTGCTGTGAACTTCTGAGTGAAGATGGCCTTCTTTCAGAACAATTTCTGGGTAAGTGTCTGGGTTTTGCCTAAAAACGAGACTTTGTATGATAATGATGGCAATTATACAACAGATGCCTGTAATGGCTACATCGATCAAGCTTTTATACTCAAGCTTTAACTGCCAGATATACTTATTCATGTAATTATAGCCTAATTATGTGTCACTGAGGTTTCATTGATATTCTAATCCTTTGCAGCCAATCTTCTGGTTACCTGCTGCCAGTTAGGTACACACAGGAAGCGCTGGTTTTCTCCCCCTTTTAAGATGACTCAGGAATAATAGAGATCACTATTGTTTCAAAAAAGATCCTGCCAATGACAACAATAGTCTACAGTAGGAAAAGTTACCTTTGGATATGGAACTATCTGACCAAGAAACAAAATGTCATTGTGTATTCAGACAGCAAATTTGACCACTGAAATGCATGTTTGCCCTAAACGACACACTACTACTGATCACATGCATATTTAAGCCTGGTCTTAGCAAATATTGATATTGACACCAGTTTTTCATATGAATAAGAACAATCTAAGAGAATACTAAAAACACATTTTAACATAAGGTTGTAGAGTGCAATATCACATTTGGGTTTAGCAAAACTTAGAGTGAAATTTACACCTAATGCTGGACAAAATTTGCAATTTGTTTAAATTGATTTGTTCAATAATTAAAGAACTCATTATTAGTAACTATACATAGATATGTAAAGAGCAGGATGGAAATCTTCTTTTATCCCCCCAACAGCACCCACATCCCCCACTGACTGAGCTGTAAGCTGTTACGATGTCTCTTTCTTTTCCCCACTTTCTCCTCTACTCCTCTTTGTCTGTTCACACCTGGTGCATCTATTTCAGGTGTGCCCTACTTCTTCTAACCTGCCTCATCAGACTTAAAAAAAATCCTCTTTAATATTTAAAAAATACACACAAAAATTAGAATAAGGGAGTACAATGAGCACATCCCATTGGTTTAGAACATTAAAGGTTATCATGTAAGATAATAGTTCTTTGAAGTGATCTCTATCCAGAGATCTTTGAAAGATTAGGAGGATTACTTGCATGTAGATCATTCTCGGCCCACTGACCAATGTCAGATATCTAGTGATGCATCCAATGAAATCCGCTCTTATCTGAGGTCCTGAAAGGCGTTGAATTAAGTCCTTTAACCTTTACCTTTTATTCTGCTAAGAAATCAGATTTGCATTTTGACATTTTGAAAGAAATCAGATTTGCATTTTGACATTTTGGAAAGGTTGCGGAGTATACCATTTATAGAAGCAACATGACTTTACCAAAGTAACCACAAAACCTCAAAATACCTAAAGCTGTACAATTCATCAAGAGTCGCATCCCTATGTGGTTGTATCTACTATGTAAGTAAAGTTTTTTAAATGGCAGAAAATTGGCCATTTTGTCCTTGACACCAGTTTGTTATTGGTCAATGGTCAAATTGCCTGAGATAATAGTGCATCAACATTGAGCCTAACCACATCTCATTTTCAAGAACTCCAGGCCAATGGCCATTTGTACTCTGCTAGTTTTAGTCTGAGGGAATTGCCATTTTCACACAATGACTGTTGTGATATGCTGTCAGCTTTTGTTTAAATATGCAAAAACAAAGTTGTTTAGGTTGCAGGGGCTTCTCTCTGAAGGCTTAGGCGATCTTAGGGATGTGCGCAGTTATTCCACTTAACAATTAAACATTTTCAGCAACTCTAGTCAGAACCAGAATATCTAGTTGGTTGAACAATATTATAGTTTTTATTATTTATTCATGTTGGCTCACAATGCTGGTTTAAATCTTGTGTCTAAGCTGCCAGGGCTGTAGCTCCGGTCAAGGGACCTTCTCTCCTAGCGCTAATGCCTAGATGTAAACCAGCAGGGTGGACGGACGGCCTCTGTAAAAGCAGCGCAGATAAACTGGCATACAAACACTGGTCAGGAGAAATGCGTAACTTTATTCATCACAGTGATGTGGCCATTAACCTTCAATGAGGACCGAAAGGCTGTTAGTGCTACCATTGCTTACATTAGCCACACTAGAGGCAAACCAATTCGACATTGTTTATCAGCTGAATAGTTTATGTGCACATACAAATCTATATTCGATGGATAGGTATGATTTTTCTTGTCGTTTAACATCAGGCTACGACCCATGGATATTGCAGTATTTCTTCTATGGGCTCAGTAAAACACCAGCAGGTCTGCAGGGAGGGGGAAAAGGCAGTACATGAGAGCAGTCTGGTGTGTCAGGACTGAAGGCAAGTAGACAGAGAGTTATGCAGCAGAACTTCAGCCAGAAACGAAGTCAAGGTCAGAGGACTGCTGTGCTTCTGTGTCACTGAGATGACACATTGCCTATCTCTGAAACACAACTAAAAGATTCAAATTTAACATCAATAATTTTTTTTGTCATTTATGAGCATGCATGTGTGTTTGTATATTCAGAACCGTGTTTCCCACCCAGCCTGCTTCAAGACATAAATAGCTGTGTCGTACAAATCATCCTTTCAGTTAATTAGAATCACAGCCGCTTGGGAACAAGTCACACAGAGCCTCGTCTTGTTTGGCTCAAGAACATTCACAGCCGCTCACAAAGCCTCCTCATAGCACGCTGTCCTTTCCCATTAACTATATAATAGCTTTGCTCATGGCCCACAGGGGGAAGCCCATCAACTATAATTAAGTACATCCTCTGTAAATTAAAGCACTGTTGAGTCCGAGAAACTGAATTAGTTAAAGGATTGGGGATCTTTAATTTTTTCTTGGAACTAGATTTCTCTTTTTAAGAAGGCATTTATTCAACACAATTGGATTTAAGAGATTTGTTTCCCATAAATGATAAAGGAATGATCTTTCACGATCTGAGTAATCCAGCACACACCAGGATTGTTCAGATTGACTTGAAAGTTTTATGCATGTTAAACATTGGAGTGAACAATGCGTTTAGTATAGTGGCTTCCTCAGGTTTGCTCTCCACTTTATTAGCGTAAGTGTGTGGGTTTTCAAGACTTTTTCATGTCACCAGGACCAAAATCTCAAAACACAAAATATCAACATACTTGACTTTGATTTGACTCAGTAATACATTTTTAATGTTCACTGTTCCTAAAACTGCTTCTGGTCCATAATATGAAACCAGATGACCATTAAGGCAAAGAAAAGCCAATGGCCTTGGACTCTCTTTGGCTCTTAAAGTCCCATGTTTACAGTGAAGTCATTTTCCATCCACCCATCTGTGAGCCACACCGATTATTAGGCCACCTTTCTTGGTGTAAGGGGACAGCACTTAAACTGAACCAATTTTTGAGGTTCAGTGGTCTTTGAAGTCATTTTTGTTGGACGTGGACAAATAGGAAAATGTGCCACAAAACTCTTTGTTGGATTAATAAGGATGTGCATTCAGCAGCAACAAAGCATTTAGTGAAATGGAAATTGTGTTGCATACACCCTTCCATCTTGTATCTTGTGTTATAAAGCCACAGTGAGGTTAAAACTCTGTCTTACACAGCAAACAAAAGTAAGCCTGAAAGCTTGTTGCACTTTCTTCGTGTTAGCTCCAAACAAATGAAAAATCTTTCAGTGTTTTCAGCCTGAGCCAGTTTTAGACCCCTCAATCTTCACCCACATCCTTCTCTAGGTCAGTTATAAATAAGTTTGTTGTTGTGCTAATTAACATTTTAATTAATCTAATTAACAAAATTATAAATGGTGGAGAAGAGAATGATGCATCTGAACGAGTGGATTTATTTTGACGAAAATAAACAATCATGAATTGGCCAGCTACAGATACCTAGTGTCTGTGTTAACTAAAAGGCTGCTGGGAGGTTGAATACATGACTAGTTTTGGGTTAAATACACAGAAATAAACACTGGGAGTATTTGGCTTACAGGATTGCAGTGCTTTACTGAAGGGCTACAAGATAAAACAGTGAAAGAACAACAATGAAGTGTGTCATAATAAAAAGATGAAATTAAATGATGGGCAGCGACAGTGAAAATATCACTTATTTGAGCAGAAAGTGTATTTCTCCTGTTTCTTCAAAGCATCTGTTAGGAGAGTGTGTGTCTTCAGCAGGAAGGGGGTAATGGAGGCTACCGCTCTGGGGAAGAAGCTCTTCCAAAGACTGTTAGTCCAAGTTTTATATTATCCTGTATTGCTGACCAGATGGCAGGGGTTCAATGCATGAGCAAAACAAAGCAGCCAATAGCTGAACATTTGACCTGCACTTTAAATCCACCTTTGTTTTAGAAATATTACACTTGGATAGGCATAAATAAGCCTTGGGCTTCAGCCTATTCCATTTTTCGTCATTGACTGTTTTAATATTATTTTGTGAAATGGTCCAGTGATAACAATTGAAGGGGTGTTATTTTGTTTCTGTAAATAGAATATTCAGACATGGTATTCTTTGGTGGATGACCAAAATATACATAATTCAATCACTAGTAGAAAGTAAACTAATGTTTGGCCACTGATCTCTGTATTTATCATCTTTTTACAATAAATCAATCATTTTTCTTCTCAATTGAGACACCTCTGGGCATTTGTTTGTGAACAGTTTTACTGCAGACAGTATTCTCATTCTTGTGGGATTAGGCTGGTGGAAACTAGCAGCACATCATCATGTTTGGAATCAACATTCCCATCTCTGCATAGCACACACTTGTTTCCTCTTTCTTCAGTGTTGAACAGACCATGAACAATCCAAGTCTGATATCCAAGGGGATTGAAATGAACTATTTCAAAGATAACACTAAAGATAAGCAATCTGTTTGAGTCTGTACAGCATACAGTATCATTTCTTCTTAGAAACAGCCCTGCGGATAAAGGAGTGTGTGCTCAAAAAAACACATACAACGCCCAGTGGGTTTTTATTATTGCCTGGTTTTCAGTTTAATGATGCCAACGCTGCTGCCCTCCCATCACTTTGAGTCATGCTATTTTCTCTTGGGGTTACAAACTGTAAACAAACAGTGTTGAACTTTTTCTCCTCCCCAAGTTTC